GTCTTCAGTCCTAAGCATAAGAAAACTCTAATTTTAATTGAAGATCTAAACTAAAATCACATAATAGACTTCATGTTAGATTTGTTAATACTTTTAGAAAACAGTCTACCACCATAATTTCAGCAACAAAAGCATGGAATTTTGGGCTATGCAACCACAATTGTAGCTGCACTGGCTCGAGTCGCGCATGCTCCAAATGTCAAGGATCACAAGGAAACCATGATAGCAACTGCAATTTAAAACCTTGGTCGAGACCTACCAGTTAACTCTGTCATTTTAAGATTAATATCATTATTGGAAACACCAGAGCTGGGGTGGCCTGTGTGAGCACAATTATGTTAAGTTATCAAAAACATTAGTTGCCACGACAAATCTGTGTTCCACAATTTTGTTAAGTGAACAAATCAACAGTTATCGCTATAAAAATCAGTTACCACAACTTTATCATATTAACAACAAAATTAAACTTGTATAAAAATAATGTATACTAAAAGCAATTATTAAGAGAGGTATCAACGTATATTAGATTAGATGAATAAATCACCTGCATACTCAAACACAAACTCACTTTTCGCGATTAACTGATCCGCATGCAACCCCCATCCTTTCCTCCAATGCCTCACAATCTTCACCCTCACCGCCACCCCATTCCGTGTCAACCGGTTCCCACACTCAGGCCCACACCAGCACCCGGGCCCGCACTCTCTGCCAACGTCATCCAGCCCATCCAGGCCAGCACAAGGACACTCACCGCCATCGCACGCCTCGCACTCGCAGCCCGACATGGCCCGGCCCTCGCCATCGACGAAGCCCACTGACTCGGCGCTAAGAAGGCGAGACTGCGCGGAGGGGGAAACTGCCGAAGAGCCCCAGGGCTGGCGCAGGAGGGAGAGTGGGGAGGAGAGAACGAGGGAACGCGTGTAGAGGAAGGGCGCGTATGGGTGGGAATCGACCGTGTTGAGGAACGGAATCGGAAGGGTCTCGAAGGTTCTGGAGGCGTCGGAGGCGCGGCGGATGGTGATGGTGCGAGAGAGTTTGAAAAGTGGCTTGCAGGTGAGAGAGACGTTGGCAAGTTCTGAAGGGTTAAGGTAGGGTAGCACCAGCTCTGCGCATTGTAGCAGAGGAGGCTCTCTCGCGTTGCAGCGCTTTGGGGGACCACTTTCTTCCGCCGTTAGCATTTGTCGTTCATGGACTCTACCATTCAGATTCACTTGCATATATAGTTTTTCTTTTTTAACTAAAGGGTTAACTTTCCAAAAATTGAAATTACTCTTTCTTTCAAACTTTCGCTTAATTTACTCACCAAACTTTATAAATGTACGAATTTAATCTTTTTAACTAAATTTTGTTGAGTTTATTTGATATTTCAAGTACGTTTCATGATAATATTTGAGTTGTTTACATTGTTTGACACATTTTTGCTTCTCACTAAGAAATGTGTTTGAAACATCAAATAAAGTTAATAAAATTTGGTTAAAATGATTAAATTTACACATTTCTAAAGTTTGGGACTAAATTAGTCCAAAATTTTGAAGAGTGACTAATTTCAATTTTCACTGAAAGTTAAGGGACCAAACACATATTTAACCATTAACTAAATTTAAATTATGTTATGTGGTTCATAACAGAGGCTTAGCAAAGTCTATAAATTGAAAATTAGGAAAAGAAGGTATAGAAATTAGAAAGTGAAGAAAGAAAAGTGGGTTCAGTCAAGTATCAAGTAAAAAGTCATGAAAGATAAAAAAAGGTGTATGAAAAATGAAAAACAATAACTTTAAGAATTGAATGAATCATCTCTTCAAGTTTCAAGGACAATTAAAAAGGAAAATGAATGAACTCATTGTATATATTGATGGTTCATATTTTATCCGTAAGTTTTACTTAACTTTGTAAAATAAAAAATTTTTGTGCAGCCCAACTATGTTACAAGATCATAAAGTCTTAGTGATCTGTGTCAAATATGTGATAAGTACTTAGAGATAAGGTACAAAATCTTGAAAGAGCATATTATCACTATGATTGAGTGAAACACTATTAGAGAGATTTTCTCTTGCACAAACATTGAATACATGAAAATTTCTACATATTTTCAAAAAGCTTAAGTGAAAACTTACACTATTGTTTTTAAAAAGAATGAAAAATTCATGTTCTTCTAGCTTGCATTATCTTATGAGGGAGCAATCGCTCCACTTAGTTCATGAACCAACTTATAATCGTGCATACATCTTTTAAGTTAGTTTTTATATTTGTTTCCGGACAAAACAAAGTTTAAAGTTGAATTATTGATAAGTGTCAAATATGAATTGATTTTAATATTAATTTAACACTTATCTTATCTTGATGTTAAATATTTATGTTAATTACTCCAATTTTACTAGTTTTCACGGTTTTTATATTATTCGAGAGTCAAAGTAGAATAATGAAGAACAACAAGGAAACTTTGAGCATTTCATAGAAAATGCAACAGCTTGAGTCACACGAAGAAAACCCATCTTGGAAGGTTTCCTTAAACCCTAATCTAAGGCTTAAGCCATGAAGAATTCTTCACATAGAAGCAATCTTAAGAGGCTCCACCCCAAGACTGCACAACTTATGCCATAGAAAAAACTCACCTTGGGAGGAAACCTCACGACTGAAGCCATGGAAGCCACCATTGTACCCATGCTGTCAAAGTCTATAAAAATAGGATTTCTCCTCTGTTTTAGAGAGACTTTTTGGAGACCTTTTAAAGGACTTTTCAAAGAAATATTAGAGAGATTTTAGAGAGAGACTTTAGAGAGTCTCCTTACACATTTCCTTTTTATTTAAAGAACATCTTTAAAGGACTAAGAGATGAAGTTTCTTCCATGTTTTAACTTTTTCCCCATGCATTAGGAGGAAATAAATCTCCTAGGAAATGGAGTGAGATGTAAACTACTTTAAACTCTCTTATATTCGGTACTTTTTTTATTTATGAATGTTTATTTTTGATCATAAGTTTCTTAATTGATTTTGAAGTATCTGAAAAACATTAGAAGAGGAGGTTGAATAATGTTAAAGGAAAACTTTTTGCAATCCTTTTGATGTAGCACTTTATCGAGCTCTTGAATTTTTTCTTTAAATGATTGAAAGCTCGACTTAATAGATTCGTATAATAACAATTTTTAACGTGCTACTCATAATATAGACACTATAACATTTTGTTAAGAACTTCCTTTATGAATAAGATCGTTTAGCTTGGAAGATTCTTATGTTTAGAAATAAAGTGTGACTACAAGTTTTCACAAGAGGATCGTTTAGGTAACAAAAGAGATAATTGCACAAGAGATTTTATACTGGTTCGCTCGAACTGAGCTACGTCCAGTTTCCTCTGCAAAGGGTTACTCTATAATCTTCACACGATTACAAATGAGTATTAGCATCACTCTTGGTACTCAACAACCTAACGAGATTTACTTTGACTACTAACACGACTCTTAGTACTCAGCAACCTTACTCGAGATTTCCTTTGAATATTCGCACCGGTCCTAGTACTTAGCAACCTTGCCAAGATTAGTCAACTCAAATAGAGTTCACTTGTAAGTATTTTAATTCTCTTCAAAATTGCAATCAATGATTGCTTAAACTATATCTCTCGCAGAGAGGATTTGATTACAATATAAAGCAGTCTAAACACTTGTAGGTGTTTCTCTCTTCTCTCCTACAATAGTATGCAATATGATAATGAAGTGCGAGAGTATATATTTCTCTTTTTCTCTTCTCTTCTTTTCGGCTTATATATCTTCTTTTTCTTGAGCTCTTTCTCTTTTGTTCTCAGGATGAATATTTCGTCATAAGCTTTTATACTCTTATGATATCATCATAAGCTATCCTCTTCTTTTTTTTCTTCTTGAGAGATCTTCTATATATAGGCTTCATGAATATTTGTCCATTAGACTGAGCTTGTAGCCTTGATACTCATGCTTTCATTTTCTTCTTTACACAACAGTTGGATTCCAATCCATTCTAGGTTGAGCAAAAAAAGAATTTGGTAGCGGATGAAATATTAAACAATAACGCAGAGTATAAGATCAAGGCTCTCGAGAAGAACCTTCAAAAATGAAATTACGGGGATGGGGCAAACACCCATTTTTTTTGAAAACTCCTCTAAACACGTCCACCTTAAGAAACTCCTCAACTCTATTCTTTCTTATGGTTATGACGGCGATGATAGGTGAATCTCAGGGCTTTCTTACCAGCCTTTCTAGTAGTGGTTTTTGGGTGGCACGGTGGGTAAGCTGGAGGGGACCCCGGTGGGTAGAGTAACTAACTTTCCGAGGTTGGGTAAGTCAACTTGTCAAAGTAGGCATGCTTTTTCAGTCCTTTGCTTGAAGTAAGTTGTACGATTTTTTTAAACTTTGCTTCAAGTGAGGAACATTCCGTGAATATCTTCTTTGTCTCTAACTTCCACTTTTTTATATTTGATCTATAGCATTGTGGATGTGTGTAGAATAGCTTATCTACAAGATTAGAGTAAATTATGCATGCAACAGAAACGTCTTTTCTTATAACTTTAGTTGTTTTTCAATGTTGAGCATTTAATGTTATTTAATGCTTGCTCAGAAAAACAAAGTTCTTTTTGAATTTCTACGGTTAGGTAGCATTTTTCAATTAAGTTCTTTTCTGAAGATGCCAAGTGATGGAAACCTATTTAAGGAATCAATTCAAAGGAGCATCAACTTAAGCTAAGGCTAAGAGAAAGGGAAGTAGAAGAAGGACTTTCAAAAGCTTTATCTTTGTTTTCTTTCAAGAAAGGTGCCTAGTCGAAACCCCGAAAGCCTAGCCATGCGAGAGAGGGTTTTCCATGTGACATTGCTGACTTGGATTGAAGCATCGAATGTGTTGATAGGGGCAGCTATGTTAAAGCTAAACCCATATATCCCATATGTGTTTTTTATGATGACAACAACAGAAATGTTTTAATAATTTCTTGCACACATTAAGCAAAGCTGCTGGTTATATATTTGTTTGTGCTTGAACTATTTGATATGCATATTCATTGTGCTTATACATCTGATTTTATCTATGGCATGCATATTCATTGGTTAAGATTGATAAAACTCTTTGCACATTGCATATATGTATGAATTAATCGATTACAGAGTTTATGTAATCTATTAGATCATCAAATATCAGTATTTGCTTAACGGTGACAAAACTGCAAGTTTTTAACCGATTATATTAGGTGGATAATCGATTAAAACTCGTGTCTTTGCCTATACTTATTTGCTGAGTGCATTGATGAGTTTTGGAATGAAAAAATTTTCAAATTTGCTTAAGTGTTGTACTTAACTGATTACACTCTTTTCGTAATCGGTTAAAATGCGCAGTAATTGAAAACTTATTTTTTGATAAGTCATAACTACCTTAACCGTCGGTCATATTTTTAAATGCTATGACTTGCATTCATTACTTAATCGATTACATGTTATGCTTAATTTGTTAAATGCTTTAAATGTAATTTTGTTACAACAGTATTAATTGCTTAATCGATTACATTAATAACGTAATCGATTAAATTGCGTTAGTATTGTCATATCTATAAATTGACTCATAGCTCTTTGCATGAAACAACTTTTTGAATATATCTTTCATATCTGATAAAGTTTGTTGAGTTTATAATTGCAGGACCGTCTGTTCTCCAAGAATCAAGAACCATTTCATTTGGAAAGAAATCAAATCAAGGATTCTTGAAGAGTAGTTGAGATTTCAAAGTCTGATCAATCTACACTGTGAGGTGTTGTACTGGAAGATCAGAATCGTTTGCAATCAACTGTGATTGTGGGTTCCCTGTTGCTGCTGACCAGGAAGAGAACTTGTGGAGTTCTGGTTACTTTTTTTTGTTTTTCTTTTATTAAAAAAACATATAATCATTTTTTTTTGCTAGCTTATTCTTGTTTGTTTGTATTTGTGTGATGATTGTATAACTCGTGATGTTATACAAGAGCGAATATTGTTATAGATGATGCTACAAATGCTTAAAGTGAGGAAGCGCGCTGGGAAATCTTTTGACGAGTTTTGAAAAGTTATTTGGAACCATAATTTATTTTAAATTGTAATATTCGATCAATATCTTAAGTTTTAAAATTGGAATAAGGTTTTTGTTTCCAAATGGTTTTAATTTCGTTTATGATGATTAAATAAAGTTTTTCTAGGTTCACTATTTCGTGATGGTATCAAAGATTGTGTTTCTTTAAG